ATATATTATAGCTCAAGATCTATCACCCTAAATAATCAGGGCAAAAAAAATTCATTATAAAACTATATAAATCAAACAAAGGTGTTCCCCAAACATAGCACAAAATGTATATACTTCTTTATCTCAAGATTTGACATATTAAAAAGAAAAAAACCTAACACATTTCAGACAAAATACAAGAAATAAATAAAACAATTTTAAAAATCATACATTCCCTTTAAGTGCTATTTCCTTTCGATTTTTCTAAATGAGACGAACCTTTTCCATGACAAATAACAGCTGTACATTTTAGTAACGAAAATTATGCTGATAAATACACAAGGCATGTATATATTTCCACAGTATCTTTTTTTTTCACAGTTACCAAAAATAAAAATTGCATTCAACTGATACATCTATAAACACTTTGATTCTTCACGGTGTGGATTTGGAAGCAGTGAAGTACAAAGTCTTTTCTCAGCAATCTGGCCATCAGAGGTCTTTCTCCAGCGTCTGCCCTCCACACGTACCTTTCGGGGTCTTTCTGCAAGGTGATCATGCTCAGAGCTGATGGCAGAAAGAAAGCATTGTGGTCGGATGAGGCGGCAGGGGCCGGACCTTCTTCATCTTCCGGCCAGCATCAGGAGGACTGAGCCAACCCAGTCTTTTTCACGTGACAGTTTAAGGCAGACGGAGGTTCACTCAAATGTCCATACCTCGAGGTCCTGAACTATGAAGTCTTCCTTTTTGGAAAGAATATCATTATTGAAAGTGCTGCAAGAGTTGCTTCGTCCATGGTATAAATCAGCATCTAGCCATAAACCAAATCGTCCCCTGAAAAAAGGTTAGAGAAAAAGGGTGAATACCCCGACATCTCATGTGGTGCACCGTCTTCCTTCCTTTATGCTACAGATACAACTCTAAAATGCTTGCAAAATAAGTAGTTTATTTCCTTCTTTTCATTTAAGTAACCTACCTTTCCTAAAACACCAATGGCAGTAGTGTCATTTAGACAAGAGGTTGACTAAAATCTGTATAGAGTCCTCAAAAAACTGCAACTAGAAATTCCACCGGACACAGCTACTTCCTTAAAGACATCATATTACAGCGATTCACGCACACCCGTGTTTTTAGCAGCACAGTCTATGAAAGCTACATCTTGGCAGTGGCCTACCTGAGTACTACTCTTCCATAAAGAAAGACAAACTTGAGTCATCTGTAGGAAAATGGATGCACCTTAAATCATAATGTTAAGTGAAATAAACCAGACACAGAAGCTTGAACATGCAGGATTTCTCCTACATGAGAAACCCAAGGTGAAAATAAAGAGCAAAATAAAAAAGATAATGGAAAAAAAGGAGAGCTAATAGAAACCAAGGAGATCTTCTGCACATGGGAATGGGACCTAGAGAGAGAGGGGAGTGAAAAGAAATAGAAAGAATGAGGATGTGCACATACACCAACTCCCGCTATGAATGTAATAGTTGTACTTTACAAACATGTTTTAAGATTAAGACAACTGATACCAAAGTTTTAGCTATCTGGGTCAAAACAGCGTCTCTCAGGTCAAGTGCTAAGCAATAATGACAAAAACCTTACCCTCCACCGCCAAGTTCTAAAGAAGTTATGTCTCCATTGATAAAATACGAGTTTTCTCCACTCCACTTAAAGACCTAAGGACAGGCACACAAAACAGAAGACGTCTTAGTCTGAAGCATCAAAAGGACCCCTTGGCAGCATGCTGGCAGGAAGAGCACCTGCAAAACAGACTAGAGTCTCCCGACCGCCAGGCCTGGGCCACGCCACAGGGGCCTCCAAGCAGCTAGGACGCAGGAAAGACCCTTCAGGTGCGCACCTCTCCAAGCTGGGTCCCAGACTGAGCCACGCCCAAGGCCCAGGTCCTCAGTTTGTGGGCTACACCAGGAAACGCTGAGCCTGGCCACAGAAAGCCCAGATGGGCTCACCAGCCAGCAGCTGCCACCCCCACCCTGGCCTCTAAGGCACCCACTGTACCTTGAAGTTGGGGCTAAACGTGTAGAGAAAAGTCTCTCCGGTGCCATAATAGTGGTCACTGAACTTGAACGGATGAGTTGCGTATGCTCCAAAGATCTGTCAAGAGAAGACAGTGTGACATGCCCTCCTATGAAGCCTGATCCTCCTCAGGAAAGACTTTCTGAAACAGTGTGACACGATCTTGATCTGAGATGTCACTCTACCTCTTTCAGCCAAGATTCTTACTAAACTGAAGCTCTTAAGAAAAAAGGCCGCAGCTGGGGAGGGATTCAGCTCAGCGATGCTGCGCCGGCCTGGCAAGCCCCCCGTCCTGAGTTCGATCCCCGGTACCCACCCCACCAACACTTGAGGCAGACAGCAGGAGGTGCTGGGGACCTGAAGAGTAGCAGTGGGGCAGGGGTCCCCACCTTCTTGCTCCCCATTCTCAGCTACCTGAGCTGGAAGAAGCTGGGAGCAGGGAGAGGGCCATCTCGGGTGCCAAAGGATTCCACTGTTATTACTGAGATTTATTAGTTTTCTTGAGTAAATATTTCTTTCCTTGCCGTATACCCTTAGGACAATTTCCAGGCTCAGAGGGATTGTTGCTTTTCTACTTTCTACCAGTTAGTTTTCACTGGGGGCAGATTTTGCAGCACTCCCTTGTGCTGCCTCTCTGTGCATGTAGTATTTTTATGGACAACTGAGCAAGCCCATTTTGGGTAACTTTACAGGTTTCTGTGCTATCCTGTTCTCTTCTGATGGCGGGGAAGGAAGAACAGAGCTAGTGTGCAGGCGTCCTCTCCCAACACAGGCACTACCAGGGACCACGATTCATGAAACTCTACTTCCTGGTGTCCAGACATCATCTGGCGGGAAATGTGGTGAAACTGCTCCCTCTGATACCTGCTCAGCCCGGTTCGTCACACTCCCCGAGACTGCTATCACTGGTAAATAAAGAACTAAAATGCACCCTGGGTGTGGATTTGTGTGTCTAGCCCTAGACGTCACCAAAAACCTAGCAACCAAACTCCTCAAACATTTCATTAAATCTCTAAGTAACTTCATTTGAAATCGTGTTATAACAATGTCTGTTCATTCTGCAGTGCTGGGGACTGAGTCTAGGGCTCTGCCCACATTAGGCAAGCACTCTGCCACTGAGCTGCACCCCAGCCCTAATTTTTAATCTTGACCGTACCTGCTGTTCAGCTCTAATTGTTATTAAACAAAATGTTACCAATCTGGAAATGACAGTAAAAGTGAAAACAGCTAAAGTTCCCACAGCTCTCGGCATGAAATAAAGTCATGAAGATCACCGTTAAGAAAGACACCACTGTTCCCACCTCTTAAGTCTTCCCAAGACTCATTACGACAACAGGCTTCTAGTTCTCTGAAGATAATCCCTCCTTTATGGCTCACCAAGAGGTGAGCAGGATGTCAACAGAGATCCTGTGCCTCATGGCAAGCTCTCCAATGAGTAACTTTTGGAGTAATGGGTGAAAGGATATCAAATAAAATCTGCTTTAAGGCCAGAAAGTGAAAAAGGATGGCACCCATCTCTTACAATCATAGCGAGCTTCTTAAGGAAGAGCACGCAGTCCTAGAGCTCACTAGTGCCTCTCCGGGGGCTGCCGTCACCCAGGGAAACCTCAGGAACGGCACAGTGCATTCCCTGCTCTTTCACAAAGCTGGGACCGCAGCGCAACAACCCAAGGCCTTGCCTGGCTCCCGGTACGGCCACCAGCAAGCAGGGTCTATGGGCACTGCCTCAGCTCCTGAGAAGAAGCCCTGGAGTTGTGCTGGAACTTACTCTGCACCACCTCCACATGCAGATTGGCTTCCCCCCAGTTTTCCCAGTTATAGGTTGTTGTTGATCACGATTACAGTTTCCTAATCCATGATCAGCACAGGAAAAAAAAAATTACTTAGAAGGTGGCCATGTTTGGGGTCTGTTCTGGTTTCTGTTTAGAGAGGACTCTAAATATACAGGGGTGGCAGTGACGGGATTTACTTCAGCAGTGTGAAGCGGTGAAACCCGCTAGCTGTGTGATCTGAGTGAGGGGAGTTTGCCGTACTCTACTCCGCGAGGGTTCGCACGTGGCCACCGGAGTGTCTCCGCCACAGGCACCGGCCCGCCCCACCTGGTTATCCATGTCCTTGATGACCAGCAGCACCGGACTGTCCAGCGACGCCGACTTCCGGTAGAGTGTCTTCAGGCTGGTCCCGTGCTCCAGCGTGCTGTAGGCCAGTCTCCAAGGGTAGCCTTGCACCCGTGCTGGGAGGCGTCGTGCCAGCTGCCGACCCGAGGGAGGAGATGTCACCAGATGGTTCTCGCACAGATCACTCGCAAACTTGCGGCACAAAACAAGCGCGCAGGGCTCGAACTCACAATAGTCAAGTGTTTACTTACACACTGCTCCCGCTAACCCAGGTCAATATTTGACACCAAGAAAGAGCGCTGCCTGAGTTTCTCTTGACAGGGATGCTCCCTGCCAGGGCCCAAGTGTGGGGCTGTAGGTCACCGCACAGTTCTGGTTTTCTGTATTGGTGGGCGACTGCTTACGGGAGCATCACAGAGTTATTTTTGGTTGTTTTTTGTTTTTTTGGTACTGGGGATCAAACTCGGGACCTTCCGCTTGGTGACAGACCCAGGGAGCCAAATCCCTGGCCCTACAGAGTCTTCTTATACATGATGTCACCAGCCAATACAATCTCAGGGAACCGTGTCATGTATGGGGTCTGCCGCTGACAGAAATGACACTGAGCGGTGAGTGACTATACATTTGAAGACACAGATCAAGCTAGAGGAAGTAGGAACTAGACACCCACTCTTACTTCATACCTCAACCTGACTTTTACCAAATAGTTCTGTTGTTTTAATTGTTCATGTGAGGCATGATGGCACATGCCTGGAATCCTAGCACCCAGGAGGCTGAGGTGGGAGGATCACTGTGAGTTCAAGGCCAGCCTGAATTACACAGTGAGATTCTGTCTTGAGGAAAAAAAAAATGTCTTTGTAGACCCAGAGCTGCTACCAGTAAGTGCAGCTCCCCATTGAAGTGGGGGCAGTAAAACGCATGTGCTCTATGTGGGGAATCAGAGGTAGCCTGTCCATTTTGCACAGTATTTTTTACCTACATCAATACTTAGCTGCCACAAATACCAGCAATATAAATCTCTTAAAAATATCATCAAAGGAGACCAGTAAGTGCTAAGTCTTGGGAGTGTTTCAGTAGGTTCCAATCAGGGTCTGTGTGATCCCTGTCCAGCGGGCTACTGAGTCACACATCTCCTGGCTTTCCTGGGCATTTAGCAGCTCATTTGTACACGGAGGAAGCTGAGCTGATGATTCTTTAAGGTCTCTGAAATTCAGGGCACTAAACGAGACGAGTCTAAGAGGTTCCCCACCAAGGCTCAGATGCAAGTGCATACAAATGGCTTCAGAGCACAAAGCACACCAAGAAAATCACACAGAAGGGAAAACCCTTCCTAGAGCCAGGTGTTTCTCACAGAGGGAGTGTGTGCCTCTGCCCTCGTGCTTCTGCAGCCCCTGGACCAGTGCGGCCCCAAGAGGACCCCAGCAGTGACAACCCCAGGACCCCAGCTGGCCCAAGCCACCTGCTCCACGTGCGCGGTCTCCAGCAGCGCGCTGTGGGGCTGCAGCACGGGCAGCCCCTCCCCCTCCTCCTCGTCCCCGTCCTCGCAGTAGCTGCACGCGCTCTTCCTGCGCTTGGCCTCCTCGACGGTGATGATCTAGGCGGGCACACAGACAACGGGAAAACGGTCACTTCCGCCGGCCTCACGGCTGCCTCGCTGCCACCATGCGAAGGCGGAGCTCCGGCGCAGAGTAAGGACAGGACTCTGGGAAAAGGCCGATTTCCCAGCTGCAGAATCGAGGACACTACAGTGGAGGCGTTGACTACGCGTGAGTTAAAGCCACACATTTCCCAGGCTTGCTACTGCTCGGTGCTTCGTAGACAATGTACAATCTCCAAAGCGCTCGAAACTATGCTCCGTTAGCCTGCGTCTAAATTTAAATTGTCAAGGAAATAATCAGAGATTACTCAGTGAGTCTTCTACAAATATGGAGCTCGCTCTAATCAAGGGCTGTGCACTCAGCAACCACATCTGACAGAGATAATGTAGGGTAACAGCTGCCAGGAGCAAGAGAAGCATGAAGACTCACTCTAAACCACAGCCAGATCACGGCTCATTAGAGTCAGTCCAACACAGTCAACAGCAATCTTCCAGACTAAGAAACACTGTATTGTATGTTATTTATTTTTAAATAAATGTATTATTTATGTAATGGTAGCTGTATTTATTTAACTACCGAAACCCTCACCTTAAAACCCATGTTACCCCTTACATTCTGGACAAATCACTGAGTTATTTTGAAATTAAGCTCTACTAGACAACAGAGCCACCAAAATACCGGGGAACCAGTAACACTGGCCTTTATATCACGGGGTAAAGCATTTGTTGCATCTAGTGAAAGTGTTAGAGATGCATTAATTTCCAACCGCACAATGACGTGTACAGAGCGCCCACAATTATCTGAGGCACAGTTCTGGCAGGAAAATTAGCTTATAAATTTGACCACCTTCTGGAGAATTCACGTAGAGAAAATACTTCCAGACAAGCACAGATGCAGCATTTTAAAGGTACTAAATAAAGCCGTGTGCTCTGGGTGAACTCCCCACTTTACCAATGGCACAAAACAGGCTGTGGAATGAAAGATCTCAGTCTGGACTTCAGATTCTCCGGGGAAGGGGCAGCCACGCCATGCTGCTGCACACAGATCACACAACATCAGCAGGTTGTGAAGCCGCACCATCCTGTCGGAGACCCAGGGAGCAGAGCTCGCTGGTGCCTGGCTGTGCCCAGCCGCTCCTGCTTACCTTCACAAAGGGCTCCTGGTCAGGCGCAGCATAATAGAAAATCTGAATGTCCACAGGCAGCCGCCGGGCTCGCATGCTGGCAGGGGAGGGCAGACTCGCTTTCTGCGGAGGCCCAGGTCTGCTCTCTGCCCACACGCCAGTCACTTGTAGCCACGCTGCTGAGCTGCACCGGTTTTAAGTGTCTGACTTCCTGCGTGATTAAGTTTCTGTTTCCCTTAGGAGGGGTTCAACAGTTCCACAGGAACACACCCAAATTAGGATTTAGAGCAAACACTTCCTGGCGGGCTTTCCTGGAGACTGTAAAATGACACTTTCACCTTTGAAACCGGTGGTTTCCTTGCAGTACAACTCAACCCTATTGTTTGAAGCGCTTTTTTTTTTTTCTCTTACTTTTCTTCCCAATTACCCCAGAGCTAACTCAGCTTCCCCCACCCTGCCTTTCAGTTTCCTTCAGCACCTTCTTCAGGGTAAATCTCCATTTTAAATGTTCTCTCTCTTGCCTCAGTTTGAATCGCAAAGACAGAAAGAAAAGGAACAGTTAACAGCACAGGTTCCTTGCAGTGGAACAACTCCACACTGTGGCCTGGACCTGGAAGATGAAGGGACTGAAAAGCATGCGCTGTGTGCCTTCTGCCATCCAGGCTCAGAAGGGTGTCATCCTCCGGCAGTTTCACAAACCAGCAGGCAAAGTGACAGTGACCATCTCACATCTTAATTCATCTTAATGACTGATAAATACGACCAGTCCTTCTCTCCTCCTCGGATCAGATGGCAGGGGTTGGAAAGAAAGACAGAGCCCCCTGGGCCAACTGTCACCGATCTTTCTGTGACCAGTCCTGATCTCGTGGCCTTTCGGGTGTGGGGACTCCAATGCCATCGTGGACTGGGCTATGAGAAGGCCCGTGGCAGATCTGTGACAGTCCCCGTGGAAGAAGGGAACTTTGAGCTGACCTTCATGGAGGCGCTATGGTCGGCATGGGGGACACAACTCAGCCAGGCGACGAGGCAACAGGGGAGGGACAAGTGTGAATAAAGGAATGGCCTCCATGGGACACAGGCACGAAAAAACACTGCAGTCAGGGTGAGGTAGGATAAAGGAAATACAGATTGGCAGAAAGCACACAGGGAAATTCTTAACTTTAAAATCACACTTCTAAGAAAAATTACAACTTCGGGAAACAAGCAGAGTCTGAACCTTTTTTCCTCTCTTCTCTGAGCTGCGGGCAGCCCGGGCAGCACCTCCTTCCCCCGTGAGAGGCCGCCTCTTCTCACTGAGCTCTGCTCAAGGCAGTGGCGACATTAGCAGATCCAGCTCTCAGTGGCCAGGCAGGTAGGAGGCAGAGGACGAACTCACTTCCTAGATGCCCCTCCTGGGGACGGCTAGGGCCCCACACCCCGAACCAGGCCCGAAGGCTCCACTCTCTCCAGCCCACAGGCTTGCTCTCTCACTGTGACTCTGAAATTTCTAATAAATACCCCATGCCTCTTGTGCACCATCCTCAATTTTTGGAGGGAAGTCAGGGAACCTGCAAACCTACCCTAGGGTAGGGTGGCTAGGTTCCTTATCTCAGCGTTAGGGACTTCCTAGTATCGAAGATTGTAAAGTTCATTAGGTATCTTGCAGGCAGTTAGGGCAGGCCTTCCAGGAGCCAACAATGGAGACACATTCACTGAAGGCCAGCACTGTAAAAGAAACTACTACACCCAAGTACTTCCCTTAGGGACGGACAGCAGGACTGGTGTTCTAAATCGGTATCAATCAATCACCTGTGCGGGGCACCAAGATCCACCTGTTGGCTTTGTCCCATAAAACACCTTCAAGAAGCAGGGTGGACAGACAACCCACATTCTGGTCCCCCTCTGTCTTCTTAGACAGAAGCTATCTTTCTCTCAATAAAATTTTCCTATACTTTACCTCCAATGGTCCTAGAATTCATTCTTTGATTTTAGAGAGCACAAACTCGCACTTGAGATATCTAGCAGGTGTGGGAGTCACATCTCTTCCTCTCATACCACTAGGACTCTGTCTGGTGACAGGAGGAGGTGGGTCCTCCTGTTTACAAGACGGGGCTGAGCCTTAGTGAGGATGGTGGTGGTTTGTGGGACTGCAACGAAAGGCATCGGGCTCAGGAAAAACACAGATTTTTTTCTGTTTTTGCTTCCTGTGTCATACACTGGACCCTCGAGCCAAGACCAGCCTGATATATGAACAACTTGGGTTACAACTGGAATTTTAGTTTTAACTTACAACCAATCTTGAATTACGACCTGAATGTCGGCTGCTTGTGCTTCCAGATGATCTCAGATACAGATTTCAACCTGAAGAGTTCTGGAAGGAGCATTACAACATCCTCTCCTGTGTGGGGTTCACTGAGAAATCCCGGGCCAGAGGCTCCATAAGGACACCGAGATCCGCCTGTGTACAGGAGAGGCTTTGAAGGCTGTGCAGAGGAGCCGGAGCCTCAAAGGACCAACCTGAGTTACAGCCAGCCCTCGGGAACAAATTGAGTTCGTAAATCAAGAGTCCACCACAGTTCCTGAGAGACTCTTGGGGTACAGTGATTGGGTGGGCACAGGACTTGATATTCCTCTGTCCCCTGCCTGGAAGACCAATGTCACACCACCTCTGCCCTCAGGGTACCCAAGAGCTGAACCAGCACCCGGGAGGAAGAGGCAATGGAAATTCACCTGGAATGGAGATGTCTGTCAGGTCTATGGTGACACTCCCAGTGATGTCACTAGTGAGCGCAGAACAACTGGGTGGAAGTTAAGAAATGGGAGATGTAAATATGAAGTGTGAAAGAGGAGCCAGGAAAGAAGAAAGAGATGCCATGCAAAAGGGCAGTCCTCACTGACACACAGAAGGCTGCCTTTGGGAGGGGAAGACACTCGACCCCAAACCAATGAGGAAGGGCGCAAATGCAGGGAAATTAAGGAAGAGAAGAGAGAAAGTGAGGAAGACCTTGTCCAATAGCCTCTTCTTTGTAAAAATGAAGGAAAGGCCCACTCTGGGGACTCACAGACCACAAAGGGCACTCAGAGCTTCAGAGCAGGGCAGAAGTTTACAAAAGGGAAGCAACTAGAGATAATATATGTAGAGATGTATAAAGGATTTCTAATCACTGGAAAGGACCAGGTGAGTTCAGAAATTAGGTATTTATAATGGAGCGTTCTCCCTGGGTGCCAGCTGTTGTGTGTGTTTCTGGGACAGGGTCTTGCTTCGTTGTGCAGACTGGCCTTGAACTTGTGGCTCGAGGAGCTGGGATCGTACAGGGGCACACCACCATGCCCTGTTGGCTCGACAGGTCTTTTATGGCAATTTTATCCCGGGAACAGAGACAGTGTGAAGGAGGCGTCTGTGCAATAGGGTGGGCAACACAGGTGACTGCGGGGGACGGAACTCAGGAAGCCTGGGCAGGGGCTGCCTGTGTTCATTAACCACCTCCTGAGCCAGGAAGGAAGTCATGTTCAGAAGGCACGGAGAGAGGCAGAAGAGGAGGCAAGGAACCAGAAGCCAGAGATCCAGGGGCTTAGTAGTGAGGAGGAGGAGCAGGTGTGCTTCCTGCTGCCTCGTCTCCCAGCCTTCCAGGTCTGCAAGAATATTAAGCAGAGGGAGCCCCTCTCATCCAGGTTCCTATTTGCTGAGCCTGGCCCCAAGAGGGACTTGGTTCAGACTTGTCTGGACGAACGAAGGGAAGACAGCTACGCTCCTCTATGGGTCACCAGCAGCTGTCTGCGCCCCACAGCAGCAGAGAGAGCGGCTGTGACAGGTGAGGTGGCCCTCTAAGCCCACGATGTTATCCAGCCCTTCGCAGCTCCAACTCTCTACCAGCCAGGCATCTGAATCTGAGCGGCGGACATTTCTGACTCGGTCCTGCGTTTCAGGAACCAAGACGGCCTCGTTCCCACCCAGGCGCTCACCTCCCAGCTCTTTGTTGTGGGCTCACTGAAGAAGTTGTCGATCATATTCAGCTCTTCCTTTTCCACCACCACGAAGCCTTGCTCCTTGGCATCCTTCCCATAGACGTCAGGAGACCACTGGACAAAGAACGTGTACAAATGATCCACCCTGAAAAACACGTTTGCAATAGAGATTAGCCCAAGTCAGGCGCAGTACCAGTAGGGGCTGGAGTACAACCACCCTCTTTTGCCTGCTTGGAAAATTCATTTTGTTAACTGGGAAATTCCCCGTGGACAAGACTAGCTTTATGAGAGGCTTTCAACCTTGGAAAGTAAGAGCCAACCAATGAAAGCAGACATCTACAGGCCCCAAGAAACTGTTAAAATTGTCTTTCAACCTCAGGAAGAGAGTAAAACACAGAAAAACACAATGGAATATTTACACTTAATCTTTCTTGCTCATTGGGTTTTCATTTAATGGGCCTTTGTTTTCAATGAGGGAAAATGGTGATCTGGAACGTTAGCCAGGAACAAAGCTAAATCACAATCCAATGGTCCTTATGTGCATCAAAGCTCTACTATGTAATACTTTTAATAAATGTTTCTGATAATTAGAAAGTGTTGGGAAAAACACTATTGTTCTAATACTAGAGAAAGGCCTAATTTTATTGGCATAAAAATGTACTTTGCTTCCAGCTGCTCGGATCTCTTTTATTGTTTTGAATTTTTATGGGTCCATGTTTGCAGTACACAATGACTGCGTTCCTCGTGGGGAGCTGGTATGTATACACTACACTTCCTAAATCTACGTCCTCTTGTCCTTCCCTCCATCACCCTGTTCCCCATTCCTCCTTTTTCTGGTCTCCAATTTCTTAAACATATTCAGGATAGGAAGTTCTAGAAGCATCTTCCCAGGCACCATCAGCAGACAGTGGCCACTTCCTGGGCAAAGAATGCTCTGAACTCCAGCGTGCAGTGTCCCTGGAGTCTAACAGTCACTGCCTCTCAGACCTTGTGTTCTGTGTCTCTAACCATCCCAGCAGTGGGGGCACAATGAGCCCACCATGCAAGGCTTTAGGTCTCTTATTGGCTTCTGTTTGGGGCAGTGCTAACTTATTAATTATTAGCAAGTTGTAATTATGTCAGTGTCCTAGCAATATTAACAGAACAAACAAAAACAAAAGTGTTACCCACAAATCTGATGTCACAATGGGTCTGACTCTGTTCAGTTCCCATATTCCTGTGTCCTCATGCACAGGGTGACAGCTTCTACACAGCCTTCACTGGCAGCAGGTCCAAGGCACGCTGTGCGGTCTGTGTCATCACACAGCACGCACTTACCAGTCTCTGCACTCACCCCTTACCGCTGTCTTCATGGACCTAATGTGCACGTTTCTACATGTTCAGGACACTTAGCTAGATTTCTCTCCTAGTACGGATAATGCTGCACTGAATTTCGGCAGGCTACGCCTTTTACTGTCTTTTGAGTTATTTCCTCAAGATTAGTTCCCAGAAAGGGGATAAATGAGCCAAAGGACACAACTTTATAGCTGTGACTGGTCTTACCAAATTTGGAAAGGGTGACTACTACCTTGCTTATCTTTTTTCTAAAACGAATTTGTTCTATTTAAGCTTCACCTGACTGATTTTCCATTCTTTTGTGATTGGGCTCTGTGATTTGTGTCATCAGTATTTTTCCTTTTCAATTTGTGGGAAACTTTTTGTAAGGTAAACTTTAACTACTACCAAATGTGTATCTAAGCTGTTGCTTCCTTTTTCCTAGTAATTACGTACCCTCCCATGTAGAGAATTAGCAAATTTCATATATTTTAACGGTGTATTTCCTTTCAGATTTCTCCTTCAAAAGGCAGGAAGTTGTCACCCACTGTGTCAGTGCTGTGGCATGCTAACTTCTGTTACAGCAAGATGGACTGGACACACGTGCTGACAGCACAGGGATGAGAAGCCCACGTTTCCACTCAAGGCGGTGGGATCACCTTCCAGTCCAACAACGGCCTCTACTTTGAAGGAAATTTCTTACATGAGATTGACATTTGAATATCAGACTTTAGGAAAGAAGGCCGCCCTTCATGTGCGTGGGCCTCTTCCCACCAGGATGAGGGGGTTCCTTGGAGAAGAAGACCTTGGTTCCCCAGGACCCAGGAGTTGTATCTTTCACCTTTCCTCAGACTTTACAACACCAACGCTTGCCTTCGGGCCACCCCGAAAATGTCTTGCTAATCCCGTATTCATGCCGGCCAACTTTTTAATCCAATCAACGTGATCCACCAATAAACAACCTTCTTCATACTTAACACAACCTATCAATACTGTTTGGTCAAGAAATACAAGCAACTGCTCTAAAAGGTTACATAAGAAATGGATCAAAATGCTTCTGAAGCAAACAATGCCTTCAGAGAAACACATAGTATTCTCAACCATATATATCTTTTGAGTTATTTTAATTTTGGAATAGTCAGTATATTTATATGAAACTCAACCAACATTCATCATTCATTCATTCATTTAATTGGCTTTTTGAGACAAGGTCTTAGTATGTAGTTCAGGCTGACCTTGAACTCACTGTGTAGCCCAAAATGGCCTCAAAATTGAGGAATCTTCCTTCCTCAGACTCCTCAAATCTGGGATTTTAGGCATGTGCCATACCAAAATTATTTAAAAAGCCATCTCTGCATAGGGCGCCGTGGTACACACTTGTAAGCCCAGTACCTGGGAGGCTGAGGCAGAAGGACTGGTGTGAGTTTGAGGCCAGCTTGAACTACATACTGAGAACTGTCTCAAAAAAACAAAAGCAACAAACAAAAAGTCACTTCCTTCACACATCCCAGTCCACCTCCCAAATAAAGGTGATTACTTTGTTTCCCATGTGTGCAGTGTTATGTATAGAGATGTGAATGTGGGTAGTTATGTTTTTTGTCTTGCCTCTTTTTATTTCTGTTATTCGCCATCATTTTTTTCCACCTAACAACACATCTTGGTATCCTTCCACATCAGTAAGTGCACAGCTCCCTCATTCTTTTCCATCACAGCTGCGTGGTACTTTACTGTGTAGATTTACTGTAGTTTATGTTATCATCTTCTATAATTATGCGCTTGAGGTGTTTCCAAGATTGTCCTGCCATAAGTATGATGAATTCACTGTACAGATGTCATTTCAACACGTACCAACACGTCCCAGGAAAGCTGCGGGACACATTCCCAGAATGGCAATTACACTGTCAGAGAAACAATGGCAAATAGTGCAGCCATATAAATTTTATAACTCTCCTATACCATGCCTTCCTGTAGAATGATTATCTAATTTTTCCCCTCCCAACTCCCCAGTGAAAACTGAGAAAATGTGAAATAAATCCCCACTGCAGACGAGGCTGATAAGTACACAATTCTAACTCTTGTTTTCTCCGTAAAAATTTGATACACCTAAAATGTAGTTTGGAGTTAGAACCACATAGATGTCATTCTAACTTATGAAAAAGGAGATATTATGTGTATAGTCACATTAGAAAAAAACATTCAAACATGGTAAACATAGATGGCTTTCCTGTGAGCAAGCGAGAGCAAAGCCACCCCAACACGTGAGGCAGATCTGAAGCGGTCCCAGAGCTTTCCTAGTGGACTTACAATTTCTCAGAGCATCAATATGAGACGAAGCCACCCTAAATCAGGACAGACCTAGGACCACCGTAATCAAGTCTGAACACAGATAAAAACATCTACCCCAGAAATGACCAGGGGGGCCCCTGCCCCAAGTGCTCGAATGACTGGGTTGCTGTGGTCTTCAGGTCCGAGTCTGCAGGGCTCTGTCAGGAAGCCACCACCCTCTGGCAACCTCTATCCCAGCAGAGCCCTGGTCCCTGGGTCCCTCCGTCACCCTCAGTCCTATGCAAACCCTGTGGCTCCTTTCTCACTCCTGCTGGGGCTGGAGCCAGGCCTCGGCTCGCTAAGCCAGCTCTCCAGAAAGCCGAGTTCCACAATCACAGGCCGTGTGTCCGGCAGGCCTCCCTGCACCCTGCTGCCACCCTGCCAGACCGCGACTATGCTGCGGACAAGTTGGGCACCTTCCTGTGGCAGAGGACCCCTCCCCCGCCTGCCTGAAGCCCGCCTTCCGGAGTCCCAGAGCTGGTGGGATGCAGATGAGTGAGTAACCGGGGTGCTTCCCAGCAGACTGCCTCTCCTTATCCCATGCTCATGTATCAGCCGTTTCCCAGCTGACACAGCACTTTTATTCCCTCTTGGACCCGCTTTCTAGGACACAATGCTCACTTGTCTCTAGCATTTCTCTCTTCTAGGGTCATCATGCAGGGTGATCACTGAGTGAAGTGAGACATTCTCCGAGTGCATATTTTCTTGTGCAAGACCACAGAGACCAGGATGGGCCGTAGCAGTCGTAGTTAAGGTTTCATTTCTTCTCAAGTATATAAGAATATGTAAATCTTGGGCCAGCTGTGGTGCATTCCCGTAATCCCCACACTCAGGAGGCTGAGGCAGGACCACCGTGAGTTTGAGGCCAGTCTGAACTGATACGGAGGACCCTGTCTCAGCAAACAAACAAACAAGTATGTAAATTGTGACAAGTGCAAGTTGGTAAAGACTTTAGTGGAAGAACCTATCTTAGCAGCTGCCAATCATTTCCCTTTCTGGTGATGAAGACACTGGGCTAGCTGCTCCGGAGACGACATTAACTGTCTTGATTTAACTATGCAGATACAAGGCAAGCAGGGCTTCTTGTTCCAGGACAGGGACCTGCACCACTGCTCAAGGGTGGCAACCCGTGCCTGCACTCGATGGGGGAGGTGGGTGGGTGGAAGGCTGGGGAGAGGAAACTTGAGTAAGGTCCAGATTTCCCGGGGAGGAACCGAATGCCTCACAGCCTCCCTTTTGAGGTCCAACATACTTAGAGCCTCCCTGAGGGGTCCGAAAAGATGACACCTCCCCATCCCATCCCTCAACTTCCTGGGGGCTGGGCAGGATGG